TACCACTCCATATACAATGTAAACTACACCCCAAAACATCCTTTCACCCACAGTTACTACCGTGTTTCACCAGTGTATTCTATTTGACGTCAGGAGAAATTGAAATAAACAAATTAATTATAATTTCAGCCTCTAGTTGACCACTGATTAAATAAACTACCTCGTCTTTATGTCAACTTGCAGTTATTCGTTGCCTACATCAGTGACTTCAAAATATATGTTTCAATCCCAGGAATTTCACTCGCTGTTAATTGCATGGGAGTGGCAGTCTTTAATGAATTTCTATTGTCATGCCAATTTCTTGCGATTACTCGAACATTAAGCTGTAACCACATACCGCCTAGGTGCTGTAATTAAATCCTGGTGTAAGCACCATATGAAATATGAACAATGCATGTGAAGCCAGCTGTGGGATATATTCAATCCTATAGATTTCTCATTGTTTGGTAACTATTTGCTGCAAATGCAACAAAAATCAAATAGTCTTGTCCGAGAACCAGCGAAGACACTCGAAACCACTACGTTGTGAAGTGGCGTCCCACAATGATACCATACATGTGCATGGAGCGTCATCACTTATTGGAGGAAATGAATACAAACTAACGAGAAACTAACCTCAACTATAAATTGTCTGCAAGCTCCACACGGGGCTTTGAATTCATCAAGGTCACTAAAAAAATAAGAATTTTTGTTTTTGGAATTATATATTTAAACTGGTTGGATTCAGTAATAAAAATTCGATAATAAATTTACTGGGAAAATATGCTCTAAATGTTTCAAGCGCGGTGGTCGTCGCGCAGCGCGTGTTCGAATTTCATGTAAATAAACAATTTATTTTACATGCGTTGTATACGTCGCTATGAGTCCCATATCGAACAGGACGCGGCACGACGAGCACCGCGCTTACATTGAACGATGTAGATACATTACAATTCTATCTGTGGAAGTCAACGAGTTCAGATAATATGCGCAGCGACGTGTACTGAGAAATCACCTGTACAATAATTATTTGGATGTCAAATTAAATAAAAATATTGCGAAGATAGGAGAACATTAATATTAATGTGCGAGTCCAGTTCTTGACTCTGTTATCAAAGTACTCGACTGGAACACAGTAGAGTTTTCCGCGCGCCAGTTACCGGCGCCCTCTAGTTTTGAATCTCTCTGGCGTCAAAATAACGTGGGTGGACGCAAGTAGCATATTTATTTATTTATTTAGTACCCATGTGTAACAATTGCACAGAAACAAATGCGAATATGCAGATTTTAAAAACAATGTATTATTCGTTTATACATGAAAACAGCATGTACATTTCTATTGCTTTCATTGTATTTGCGTACATGTATATTCAGTCAGTTTCTTTTACATGTATAACACTTGTCTGTTGTATATTTCAATTTACAACTTTGTCCTGATATTTGTTTCGGGAATATGCCTTGTATAGTTTAGTCACCTTCTCAGGTCTTCCCAGCTTTGTTTTCATTTGCAAAGCTAAAGCTTAATATTATTAAGTTAATAATAGACTATTGAGGGCGCACCATGGCCATGGTCGACATTACCGAAAACAAAGTATCAAACGCGTCATATTTGCTATGCTTCATTGATTATGCAAATTAACTACCAAAAATTACGTACCAAAGCCTGGATTTTAGTACAATTCTTATATATTCTGGGATAGCATAGATGGGTGGTTAGTCTGAAGAATTGGCAATGTAAAAATTTATTTTCATAAAATGTGAACAAAAAATACAATACAATTCCACGTACGTTGAGACAGCTATTGCTTTGAATTTACGGTGTCCATCGGTGATTGCGTTGGAAAGGGCAGTTCGTTCCGCACATATAGTAAGACCGTAGCTAGCATTTTCAATGTTGCAGCCTGAAAACAAAATATTTGGTGTTTTAATTTATTTTTTGTATGTGTATTGGTCAGTCCATGACAACAATTCGGCAACGAAAGTACTAGTAGCTTGTCGTTAAAAGGTCCACTGATTTGTATTGATTCTTTACCTGCGTAGACTTTGCCATCTTCTGTCAGTACTGCGCATCCAACCCGAAACTTACTGTAAGGACTGTATGAATTCTCTTTTATCCTGTTGCATTCCTTGATAAGCGTCTTGAATTCTTCTGTAATATTGATTTAAAAAAAAGTAATTTACTAGTTTACTAGGTTAAAGAACATAGGATTTGGCAGGCCAGTATCAAGAAATATTTGTGTCCGACAATGTCACCAAATCCGCCATTTTGTTCGTAGGGCAAAAACAAGTCTTGTGGTGCTCTCGCTCTAAGCGAGATCCCGGTGGCAATTTGCATCTATTAAAGTAGAAGCCTACTCATAATTAATTCGAATACTCAGAATTTATTCATTTTTCAATAAATTGTACTCCAGGGTAATTTAAAAAGTTGGGGATCACCAGGCTGAACTCGATTTTCGAGAAAATGATTGGTGTATTCTTAGTGGATAGTTGCCATATCTTAAAGCAGGGGAGTCGTCATTTGCGCATGCCTCAGATGGCCATAGCGTGTCATTGTTTACAAACAACGACTACCCATAAACCTTTAATAATAATAATAAATAATAATAACTTTATTTAATTAAGCGCAACAATTCCAACATATGAAGATCAAAGGCGCTGAAACAATAAACAATCAGTCAAATATTAAAAGTGCGTTTTCAGTCTGGATTTAAAAATGTCTACTGAAGGACTAGAACGAACGGACAGAGGTAATTCATTAAAAAGTTT